AATGAAAAAAATTGGATATTCATGAGGCTGAAGCTACTGGTGAAGGCAAAGCCTTTGGAATAGTCAAATACTTGTTGTAATGGGACTACCTACATTGTTCTACCATCTCCTCCACACACACCCGTGCACATGCACAAATGTGTGCACACACCTGTGCACATCATGGAACATGCCAACATTTCACTGGATCCTTACCTTAGCATTTCAAAGAGATTCATTTATTAATTTAACAAGTATTGGTTGAATGGATAATGTATAACATGCCCTGTCCTAATGTTGAACAGGACTGTGTTTATGGACTTGGCATTACAGTAGGAGAGATGAACAAGAAACAAGTAAACAAGGACTAGCCAGTTTGCTCAGTTGGTTAGAGCACAATGTTATAACACCAAGGTCAAGGATTCAGATCTCTTACTGGTCAGCCACCAAAAAAAAAAAAAAAAAAGAAAAGAAAAAAGAAACAAGTAAACAGATACATGATGTATTTCTCTGTGGTAAGTGCTACAAAGGAAACAAAAATAGGGTGATGAGATACATAGCGATTGGTAGTGACCACTTTAGAGTAGATCTATCTAAGTCTGGACAGGTCTTCTGAGGAGGTGATATTTGAGCCCAGACCTAAAGGATGAGATAGAGTCACCCTGCAGAAAAGTGAGGAAGCAGCATTTCTGACAGAGGGAAGAGTAAATGCAAAGACCATAAAATGTGAATAAGCTTAATATGGTCAAGGAACAGAAATAAGATTCATGTGACTAGTGTACAGTGAAGGAAAGGGAAAGGGGTATGAGATGAGGTTGGAGAGTTGATCCAACCAAATCAGTCAGGGCTTTGAGGGTCAAAGTGAAGATTCAAGATGGGTCTTGAAGATCCCTAAAACATGGGAGGCCATTGAAGAGTCGTATATAGAGTGATATGATACAGTCTACTTTTCAAAAGAATTTTTGTCAAAAATCACTAACCACAAAACAAACAAAAACATAGCAAATTGGGCTTCGTAAAAATTTTAAAGATCTGTTCATCGAAGACACCACTAAGGATGTGAATAGATAAGCTACAGACTGGAAAAAGTATTGGCAGAGCATATGTCTGATGAAGAACTTATATCTAGAACATATAGGGAACTCTTCCAAGTAAACAATACCCCATCCCTCAGCCCCCAAAACACAGACACACACACACACACACACACAAAACAGTGGGCAAAAGACTTGAACAGACACTTCACAAAAGAAGATTTCATATTGAAGATACAATTTCGTACCCCCTAGAGTAGCTGAAAACAAAAAGATTGATAATGCCAAATTTTGGCAAGAATGTGAAGCAACTGAAACCCTCATCCATTGCTTAGTGTGTAAAATGCAAAAACTACTTTGGAAGACTGTTTGGCATATGGTAAGCATATACCTATCCTTGACCCAGAAATTCCACTCACAGGTATTTACCGAAGAAATATGCAAACGTGCACAAAAAGCTTTGTAAAAGAACGTTCAGCCTTATTCATAACAGCCCTCAGCAGGAGAATGGATAAGAAACTCTGGTATATTCATACAGTGGAAGATTATCCAGCAGTAAAAGAGAATGAACTACTGATATACACAAAGATAGGGTGAATCATCAAATACATTATGCTAAGCAAAAGAAGCCAGCTACAAAAGAGTACATATTGCAGGAAGTCCAAGAATAGGTAAAACTAATGTATAATAATAGAAATGAGCGAGGGGTTACCTAGGAGGGGAGGGCAATTGATTGGAAAGAGGCAAGAGGGAGTTTTGGAAGGTGATCAAAATATTATTATATACCTTGCTTTGGATCATGGTTACATAAGTACATACAATTGTGAAAACTCAAAACAGCATACCTGAGATCTGAGCATTTTATTATAAATAAATTATACCTCAATAAATACACATACATTTAAACACACACACACACTCATTTTTAAAGAAATGCACATGTGTCCTGCCTTGAACTGTTAAGGTGTCCTTATGAAATGTGGCATAAAACAAAGAGACTTGGAGATACACACACTTGGGTTCCAGTCCAGTGAACAGGTGACATAGCTTGGGCAACTTACTTAGTTTGGTTCAGTTTCCACTTCTGCAAATAAAAACAAAAATCTTCTTCACAAGATGACCATGAGAATTACATGGGATGAACAAGAAACAAGTAAACAAGGACTAGCCAGTTTGCTCAGTTGGTTAGAGCACAATGTTATAACACCAAGGTCAAGGATTCAGATCTCTTACTGGTCAGCCACCAAAAAAAAAAAAAAAAAAAGAAAAGAAAAAAGAAACAAGTAAACAGATACATGATGTATTTCTCTGTGGTAAGTGCTACAAAGGAAACAAAAATAGGGTGATGAGATACATAGCGATTGGTAGTGACCACTTTAGAGTAGATCTATCTAAGTCTGGACAGGTCTTCTGAGGAGGTGATATTTGAGCCCAGACCTAAAGGATGAGATAGAGTCACCCTGCAGAAAAGTGAGGAAGCAGCATTTCTGACAGAGGGAAGAGTAAATGCAAAGACCATAAAATGTGAATAAGCTTAATATGGTCGAGGAACAGAAATAAGATTCATGTGACTAGTGTACAGTGAAGGAAAGGGAAAGGGGTATGAGATGAGGTTGGAGAGTTGATCCAACCAAATCAGTCAGGGCTTTGAGGGTCAAAGTGAAGATTCAAGATGGGTCTTGAAGATCCCTAAAACATGGGAGGCCATTGAAGAGTCGTATATAGAGTGATATGATACAGTCTACTTTTCAAAAGAATTTTTGTCAAAAATCACTAACCACAAAACAAACAAAAACATAGCAAATTGGGCTTCGTAAAAATTTTAAAGATCTGTTCATCGAAGACACAAATTATTTATGCAGTTTCAGGACTAATCTGAAGTTTAGATTAAGAATTAATGGAAAAATAAGAATGAAACTCAAATGCATCTTTAACCTTACCACTTAATCCCTGGTCCCTGTTCCTCCTGCTAAATCATCCTTCATTTCTCCTCCTGATCCATTTTTGAGAAATCGAACCCATTAGAGCAACCCCTGGAGAGGCCCTCCTCTCCTGTCCTGTTGGCTCTGCTTGGAGAATGCTGAGGAGGCAGCCCTCTGCTCAGTACGTCCTCCCTCTCTCTGGGATTTTCCTGGCAGATCCAGCTGGCCTACAATAGCCCCTCTCCCAGGCTGTGGCCCAAGGACCCCATTCTGGCTGCCATTCCCGTCAGTTATTGCAATAAGTTAGTTGAGGGAAAATAAGATTTAAAAGACCCCCTTGCACAAGGAGAGGGTCTTCTCTCTGTGTGCTACTTAAAGAACCAGACAGGAAGCTAACCACAAAACAGCTCCTGGTGGTCTTTGCCCATGTTGTCTCCAGTCCATCATCATTTCTATTCGGGGCTGTCGTGATATTTCATTCCCTTTCTGCAGAGCCTTTTTGGGAGCCTGGTAACTGGTCACATTGTTCTGCCACCTGTGGCCACTTGGGAACCCGTGTTCAGAGACCCCAGTGTGTGATGGTCAATGGGCAGGAAGTGAGTGAGGCCCTTTGTGACCACCTCCAGAAGCCGCCGGCCAGGTTTCAGCTCTGTAACATCCGGGACTGCCCCGCGAGGTACGTGAAGTCACTCTTCTTATCACATCAATACCAAGGTTTTGCTTGTTTTAAAAGCCACCATAATTTGGACATAATAACTGAATAGGTAAGATTTATTTGGCACTTATAGAGTACCAGGCATCCTGCTAAGTGCTTTACTTGGATCGTTTCAGTCGTCCATGAGGTAGATGTTAGTTTCCTATTTTACAGATGGGCAAACTCCCATAGAGTTACAAGGGCCAGAATTCAAATTGAGATAGTCTGATTTCAGAGCCTCTGCTCTTAATCACTATCCAAATCTGCTTACTGCACTCACAGTCCTATCAGTTCCTTGAGGTCATAGTGAGGCTGATTTCATGGGCGTACCTAGAAGACAATGGAATTAAAAACTCAGTTCCCTCGGCTTAACTCCTGGAGGGAAAACCATTAATAACCTTTCTAAGTAACAGATGATACAAATCAGTAATTAAAAATATCCAACATTAAACTCATGACCTCCACCAAACCTGACCCCAGTGCTCTAGATCTCAGTGACTACGTCCTGGACTCCCCTCTTTCTCTCACTCCCATCTGTCCTTGTCAATGTCCACTGTCACCACTGGAATCTAAACTATCCTCATGTTTCACGTGGACCATGCCAGGAGCCTCCTGATTCTTGTCTCCTTCCATAGAGTACTTCGTCTACTCTACAAGAATAACCATCTTTTAAAACAAATTCATCAGGATGGTGCTCTGCTTAAAACCCTTCGATGACTTCTCATTGCTCTTAGGACAAAGGCCAAAATTCCTAGCATGAGGGCTGTGTCTATCTTTTTACACTTTTTTATCTCCAGTGTCTAAAACAGTGCCCAGCACATAGTAGGTCCTCAGTAAATATTTGCTAACTGACTGAATAGATGAGTGAAGGAATTGGATTCCCCTCGTGTTTGGACCTGGGGCTGCCTTGCTGTCTCGTCGCTTGTCTCTCCCACCCTGGTTTTCTGGTGTCCATCCGTGCTTGTCTTTTTTTGGCCCTGAGATGTGCTAGTCTCTTTTCTGACTCAGAGCCTTTGCACGTGCTGCCCCCTCTGCCTACTGCACTGTTCGTTCTCTCTTCATTTAATTCCTCCTACTTATCTATATATACCTCGGTACATTTTCAGAGAAACCTTCCCTGACCTTAGCCCCCCAGAGCTATATATATTTTTTAATTTCCTTATCATTCTCCTTCATAGCTCTGACCACGATCTGTCTTGCTCTCTCACTAGACTGTAAGTTCTATCAAAGTAGATCCATTACTGTTTTGCTCAACGATTTATTCCTACAACTTAGCACAAAGTCTGCCCCATTATACACTCTGTATAAATATTTGTGAAATGAATGAGTGAATGATTGAATATATTGAAACCAAATACATTGAAATAAAGTTATTGAAATATTTTAAAATATGTGATGTAGTAATAAATTTGATTCTCTATTAACACACCAAATAACAAGCTCTAGTTGTACTTTAATTTTGAAATGATGATAAATATAAATGATATTTTTAGATGACTGCCATAATTGTAAAGTGATGTGGAAATACCTATAATTTCTACTGGTCACAAAATCACAGGTATTACTAATACTACTGTAGTTTGTGGCCTTTGTTTTTATGACTGAAGGAAAGACTAAATTTCAGATAGAGCTCAGTGGCAATGAAGAAGTAATTCTCTTCCCGTCCCAGTTGCTGGTCCCCTTGGATATTCGTGGACCTCAGGTTAGAAACCCCTGCTGTGCAGTATCACAGCAGAAGCTTAACTTGCTCATGTCGGGATCAACAAAGCACTCGATATCTCGAAGACGTCTGCCTCCAGGTTCAGTCTCTGACAATCACTAAAGCATGAACTTTAGGGTCAGATAAATCCAGAATCCAGTCCCAGCTCTGCTGGCAGGTTAGTTATGTGACCACAGCCAAGTTATCTAACTCCCTGGACATCAGTTTCTTCCCTACAAGAATGAGAATAACATGAGAATGACATGTAAGTATCTCACAGAGTGAACAGCAAATAGTCACTCTAGACATATTTTTCTTTGTTTGCAATGAATTGAAATCCACCTTTTTGAAATTTCTACCTAGTTTTGCCCTAGCTCTACCCTCTAGGGCTGCACAAGTGATGGGTCTTCATAAACTTGGAGACAGTTCTACTCTGCCCCTATATTGGTCATTACATGGTGACGCTGTTGCTCCCTTGAGAGTAAAAGAAAATCTGAGAATAAGGCTGGGAGTGATCTGTGCTGTTGCCCATTCCCGCAGAGACATGTGACATCCCCGAAACAGCCACACTGTTAGGATCAATGTTTTCTTTTGACAAGACTCCCTGTAGGGTCTGGCATACCCGTCCTTACTAAGGCCCTGTAGCTTTTGTTCCTAGGTGGTTCACGAGTGTGTGGTCAGAGTGCTCTGTGTCTTGTGGTGAAGGATTCCACAGTCGGCAAGTAACATGCCAGCAGATGAGAGCCAATGGAACCGCGCAGGTGGTGTCTCCAAGAACATGTGCCTCTAAAGACCGGCCTCTGGGAAGAAAACCATGTTCTCGTCATCCGTGTGTTCAACAGGTCACTGGACCAGGAAGCCAGGTAAAGCTAACAAATTAGTGTGTTGACAGCTCTATCTATAATTATCACCTTGTTTCTAATAAACTTTTTTTTAATTTTAAATTTCGGGAAGAAATCTGATTGTTCTCCAAAATGAATATATGTCTCTGACCTCAAAGTTTACATTTGGAAATCATAGCGTCTCTGTCTTCCAGTACAAAAACGAATCAAGTTTGGGGTTTTTTTTTAATGCAGTGGTGCCATCACAGAATCTCCAAGATAGCCCAGTTTAGGGTGGTAG